AAAAGGGACAATTGTTCATGCCTCAGATAAAGTGATGGTTCATTAGAGTCAACATACAGGCTCTGGACAGGAGAAGTCCTGAAAGCTCCTGAACAAATCCGCAGAGCTTGATGGATGAACAGGATCCAGTTTTAACAATACTGATGACCGAGCGGATCCAGTAAACAACTGAGCCATAGTCCAGTCTAGAGCGAATTAGAGCTCTGTAAATGCGAAGCATGGAGCAACGCTCTGCACCCCAGGAGGTGTTCGCCAACACTTTTAAAATATTTTAAACTTTGGTACACTTTTTTCTCAAGTTTAAACATGAGAAAGGAAAGTCAATTTTCGGTCGAACGTCACTCCTAAAAATTTTACTTCAGGCGCAACTGGAATTACATTGTACCCATTGAGGTATAATTCAGGTTCAGGATGGAGACCTCGCTTTCCTACAAAAGTGCACGCACACAGTTCTTCTGTTTCGAAAACGTAAATCCTTGTTTTTTGACCATTCCTGGATCCTGTTCAAAGCCGATCTGGAGCTGCCTCTCTACATATCTCATATCTGCACCCTCGACAGCTAATCTGTAGATCATCAACATATAAAGATCCTGAAATGGTGGGAGGAAGTTCTTTTAATACAGAATTTATTTTTAAGGCTGAACAGAGTTACACTAAGCACACACAGCCTTGAGGCACACCCTCTTCCTGTTCAAAAAATATCGAAAAAACAGAGCCAATCCTTACTTGAAAAGTTCTAGTGTTCAAGAAATTCTGAATGAAAATTGGTAGGTTGCCGCGCAAGCCACTCTCGTGAAGATCCCGAAGTATACCGTATCTCCATGCCTTATCATAAGCTTTCTCAATGTCGAAGAATATTGAGACAAGGTGACTTCTTCTTACAAAAGCTTTTCGAATGGATGTCTCTAAGAGGAGCATATTATCTACGGTGTTCTCCCTTTCGAAAACCACTTTGATAAGGCGATATAATATTATTCTTTTCCAAGAAGTAGACTAGGCGGCTGTTTACCATCTTTTCAAACAGTTTGCATAGGCAACTGGTAAGGGCAATTGGCCGATAGTTGGAGGGATTCCTTGGATCTTTCCCTGGCTTGGCAATAGGAATTACAACAGCTCTCCTCCATGCACTGGGGAAAAGTATGCTCCTTCCACACTCTATTGTAAAGAGTGAGAAGGGCATTCAGTGACTTATAGGACAGATGCTTTAGCATTTCGTAATTCACGCCATCAAGACCCGGAGGAGAAGACCTATGTGTCTGCAACAAAGCTCTCTTTAAACTCTAGCATAGTAAAATCTCTATTATAAGGCTCAAATTTGGAAGAGTTGAAAGCGATGGGATTTTTCTCAGAGCGTTGCTTGATAGAAAGAAATGCAGGTGAGTAATTTCGGCTGGAAGAAACGGCAGCAAATGTCTCACCAATAGTATTAGCAATTTCTTCTATGGAGCTAATCACTCGGCCATCTTTTTCCAAAAAGGAAAGTGAGTGGTCTTTATATATTCCGCATGCTTTTCGAACTCTTTCCCAAACCCGCTTACTCGGCGTAGAGGATGTTATTGACGACACATATGAAATCCAGGAATCCCTCTGGCTCTGCCTTCTTACTTTTCGTGCATTTGCTTTGGCTCTTTTAAAGGCTATGAGGTTTCGCAGGGTAGGATATCTACGAAAAATACCCCATGCTTTTTTCTTTTTTCAGTGCTTCATGACAGTCGCGATTCCACCATGGTTTCGAATATTTTAGTATTTTTCCTGATGTTCTAGGAATCGAAAGCATAGCTGCCTGAATAATAGTATTAGTAACAGCTTCAACAGCGTCATCGATATGCACATCTTCTACCATTTGATCTGTGAGCTCTGCAATGGAAGAGAAGAGTTCCCAGTCTGCCCTGTCCAGTATAAACCGAGGGAGTCTCGACATGGGGTTTGCTCTTCTTCGTGCAAGAGACACAAAAATGGGATAATGATCGCTGTACAGGTCATTTCCGACACTAAAAGTGCAAAATGGCAATAGAGCTGGTGAACAGATGGCAAGGTCGAGAGCGTGGAATTTCTTTGAAGGCTCATGGAAGTAACGTATCCTGCCCATTATTTAGGAGACAAAGGCTATGATCTTCGATCATCTGCTCAATTTGTCTTCCTCGGCAATTTGTATCTTTACTACCCCAGAGCGGACTATGGCCGTTAAAATCTCCTATTATGATGAAAGGCTCAGGCAGCTGCTCTATTAGACCATTTAAATCTTGCTGATATAAATGTGCTCATTTGGAGGCAAATACAGAGAAAAGAAACAAATGAAACAACAATATCAAAATTTGTTTGAGTAGCGACAACTTGGAGGGATGTCGTCAAAGGAAAGGACACTTTGAGGGATAATCCAGTGAGGTGAGGAGACCTACACCTCCACTGGCACGCTCACCTGCAAGGTTATCCTTCCTGACGAAAGAAAACCTCCGAAGTTTTGCTTGTTGTTCCGGTTTTAGATTTGTTTCCTGTATTGCGAAGCATACAGGATGATGAACATTGATTATAGCTTTGATGTCGAGCAGATTTCGGTGGAAACCGCGACAGTTCCATGATACGAGGGTGGCCATTATGAATGGTTTTTGTTCTTTCTGTGCTCTTGTTTGGTTTTTCGTGGAAGTAGATGCTTGGGAACTTCCAGACCCTCTTCTACTTCCATACCGTCTGAATCCGCAGATTCAGAAACCATTCCATCAAGAGAGCTATTGCTGGAACTTCTATTTTTATTTGATTTCTTTTTGTGGTAGTTTTGGGTTTGCTTTGAATTACTATTTCTTTATTTTTGTACTGTATGGATACGGTTTTCTTTCTTTCTGTTGTTTGTAGTCTGTTGAGTTTTGTTTGGTGGAGTCTGCATACTAACTGATGTTTGGGTGGCAACTGTGCGAGATCTTTTAAGAGCATTGGCGTAAGATGTATTTGGTCGTAGCTGTGTGCTTTGGACTAATCTTCTGGCTTCGGCATATGAGATGTTCCTCGTAACCTTTGCAGTCTGCACTTCTTTTTCTAATTTCCATTTTGGGCAGAGGCGTGAAAATGCTGGGTGCTCACCCTTGCAATTTATACAAAGAGGCGCAGCGGTACAATTTTCAGAATCATGGCCAATCTGTGAGCATCGGGCGCATGTGAAGCTGCCACGACAAGACGTCTTAGAATGGCCGAAACGCTGGCATTGGAAGCATCGCATAGGGTTTGGGAATATAAGGTCTTACAGGACAATTTAAATATCCGGCCTTAATATTCTTAGGCAGATCAGGCGTGTTGAAGGTAAGGATCACGTGTTTCGTATCGATCAACTTACCTTCCTTACGCATCTTGATCCGCCTAGCACCGCAGACATTTTGGTCGGATAGCTCGGAAGCGATCTCTTCTTCAGGAACATACAGAAGGTCGAATTCCGATATTACGCCACGACAATAATTCAGTGTCTTATGTGCTGTTACAGTGACATTCGCTTGCCCAAGTTTAGTTATTATTTTGAAGTAAAGAAGCAGACTGGGTGGCCTGAAATTGTATCAATAAGCAAGTCTCCGGAGCGGAGACGCTTTATATTTCTCGGCTCACCAATACAAGACTGGATGTATTTATTTATTACGAAAGGAGACATCTTTTGCAGTTCGCCAGAAGGACTAGAGATAACTAGGAAAAACGGGGACTATTGTTAGGATTTTTTCATTTGCATCTGTACGTACTTTTTTAGCAGATTTTTCAGAAGCTGGTGACTGAGTTTGACCGGACTTGACTAACTTCGAAATCTTTAATAATAAATATTTGTGAGTTTGCCATATTGAAAAAGAAAGATTCGGGTCCGACGGCCCCGCCCACCACGGAGCCCTACAAGGGAACACAGATTCCTGTGTTAGGGCTAGCCGGACCTATACGCAAACTGAAGCCCCACAGTCGGCTTTCCCGAAAGCAGGTACTCCCGAGAGCTTGACCCCAAGCCACTGACACAAGGACTAGTGACCAGCCGATTGACACCCGTGAGGACGACTAAGGTGCCTCCCGTTTAGCTGAAGCAGAGGCCAAAGCAGTGTGTTGGGGACAGTACCTCGCCCCTCAACTACCAGGACCCTCCTTTCCAGCGACACGGGTCTCCACGCACGGCAAACACGTGGGCAGTTTTCTCGCCACTCGAAAACTAGATGCAAGGGCTGCTCCAGTCTCTCATGACGAGACCCAAACTCCGTAGAGAGAAACCACAAGGGAGAAGGGAAGGGAAAAAGTTCCAGCCAAGAGGAGAGGAGACGGAAAAGAGGATAGATCACTGGGGCTACAGGATAGTGACACCCGTCTCACCAAGAAGATGATCCCCTGCAGGGCTAGGGTATTACACCCATACTTGGGATTGCCACACCCGTACTCACGAAAGTGAGCCCCCTGAGGGCTCTGAAATACGGAATTGCCAAAGTCCAGACTATTGTTATTTTCAGGATTTGTACTATAGTGGATGATAAATCTGTTTTCCTAAATGGTCAAGGTTGTATGTATTTTAATTAAAACTATGCATTTATAAATTAACTTGAAGTGCTTCTTCTCTGTTGTACAGGACTTACGCTGGCATTTTCCATTTTGTTTTAAACATTAAAATGTGTGTTTTAGTTTTCCATTTTTTATCTTATGCTAGATCACTTTGGACTTCCAGCATTGGGTCATATTGTTCATAATTTAATGCTTAAGTTTAATAGTAGTTCATAGCCTGCATTCAGTATTAAACTCTGATTTGATTCTTCTGTGCATGTAGTGTGGGGAGAACGTTGCATGACCAATCGTTCTAAATCAATGAGTAATCTTTATGTCTTCTAATATATAATATTTAGAAATGTATTCATCTCCTATAATTAATGAAAATTTTGTTGCTTCATGCATAGCTTTTTGAATAACCAAATGTAGTACTGATTTATCATATGAATAAGAGCAGGCATGTTAAACAATTTTATGTTCTAGTTGCATTCATTTTTCCTCTAAAATTTTAGGAGGCAGAAGTTCCATGAAAGCCGACTACGTGTTGCTCCATCATGTACATTTAGCGATTCCTCTATTCCTCAACAGCAGAAGGCTGAATCTTACAAAAATGTTTTGCCATGGTGGGAGGCAAATTATGTGACAAATGTTAATATACCACTTGGGTCTGCCATTAATACTTGCCACAAAAGTATTTTACCTCCAATAAAAGCTGTGAGCTCAGTAAGATCAGGTGTACCGAATGTACCACAAGGAAAGAAGAAATGTAAGAAGAAGTTTTGAATAATAAAATATGAGCTGCTTTTATATTTCTATATTTCTTATTTTCTAAGATATCTTTGAGTTAAACATTTTCTTATAATTATATTATATATGTAGTAGGTGTGTGCAAAAGTTCTACCTTTTATTTAGGTTTTAAAAAAAAGGTAGAGCACATAGAAAGTAAAATAGATATGATTTTGTGAAATTTCCAACATTTAGCATCACCTCTTGCCATATTTCTCATAGAATGACTTTTCCTGCACTAGCAAAACTTCTTTGGTTTAGGGGTAAAAATATCTAGTGATCCTCTGTTTACATTCTATTCATCATTCAAGATTTGGAAAATGAAGGTGTTCGTCAATGATGAAATGAGATTAATATCTAAGGCCTGGGATATAACTTGGATTGGGAAAATACAAATGAAATTTTAATAATTTTTGCCAAATCATTAAAGTACATGTAATCTAGCACTATCCTGATGAAAGATTATTTGCAGTCTTTGCGGTTGATGCATGCTCTCTGTTTAACTATCAATGCTCTTCTCTGTTTGTCTCAAGTGTGTGCAATAGAAATCAGTATTTATTGGTTGGTTACATTCCAATTGGTTATTCTCATGTGTCCCTTTATACATTTCCTGAAATTTTTTTGAGGTCTTGTCCTTCCTTTTAGATTAATTGCACAGTTTTGCCAAATTGGCACATAGTTCTTCAGTGCTTAACATTATCTCTTTTCTCATTTTACACAATTTGTCCAAAATCAGTTTACTTCTTTAATGCATAAGCAAAGAAGCATGAGTACCAACTTTTACATTTCATGATGAACCGAATTACATGCATTTATTATTTTGACTGTTGTTCTGTGTATTGATGCTTCTGTAGTTTGTGTATTGTTGGATATGGTTCATTTTTTGTGGTATGGTCCAAAATGTTTTTCCAAACCACTGATAAATGTCCAAGATATGACTATTCTGTGCACCATCTCCCATTTCAGAACTTACAAAACCTGCAAGGACACATATTGTCATTAACTGCATCCTTTCCTAGTATCCCTGAATCCAACACATATTATCATCAAATTCCCTGTATCCAACATCCAACACTGTATCCATCAAATTCCCTATATCCAACACATATTATCATCAACTGTGTCCTGCTTTCTAGCTCAAGCTGCAGTGTTGCCATTATCAAGTACAATTATAAACAATATTTAAGGATCTCCTTATGACTTTTCAATTTTAAACCCTTAAAAATGAGCCAGTCTGACAAACTCATAAAATTTGAATGCTGTATTACCCTATTTTTGTTAGTAAAAGGCAATCACTCAAGCACACCAGTATGTCTGAGAAGCCCTATACCTCTATGCTTGAGTATCACAAAGAGGAGGAATGTCTATGTTATTTTAGTTGAGGTATTGGCAATGTTGCTTTCATGGTGACTGACACGACTGCCTGGTGTCTCTGTGTCAAGATCACTTAGAGTATTTCAGTTATGCCTGTGTTTAAGGTCACATGGAGTACTTCAGTTGTAGTGCCATCCGTGATGCGAGTAGTTGCAGGTATACAGTTGAGGAAGGGTTAATTGCATGTATGTGGGTACTCAAATGAGCACATGCTGTATAGCATTGAATGACTGTTTGTAGAGATGCTTTGGAAAAGAGCCATCTCCTAAAGCAGCCCTGTTCGATTCAAAGAAACATGCATTTCCTTCAAGAAATGTCAGACAAGCCACATAGTAATTGTAGTAAGATGCGTGAGGAAACATGCTGCCATTACTCAGTTAATTGTCATGTCTCTAAATCAATTTAGAAAAGAGCAGCTGAAGTGAATATACTTCTTTTTAACAATGTATGATTGTATGAAAAAAAAGGATCTGCATTTAGACTGATGTTTGTGTATGATTTATCAGACAACAGCATGGAGTAACATGTTGCAGTTTACTGTGTTTTGTTGACATAGTTAAGTTCTCTATATTGCTTACGAGTATTATTTTCTGATGAATGTGTATATGTAACAGTTGACACAGGAGAAATGTGGTTTTCTGTTTTAAAGAAAACCTTCATTATATGCAAGCATTGAAATGAAATTCACCTCAGTTATGATGTAATCCAGGATGGTATCATGGTATTTGGTCAGGCCAAACATTTTTTTATGAATATTTGAATGGACATTCTTATTTGCACATGTTGTAAACATGGTAATACCTCATCTGCAAGACAAGGGGAATCATGAATCGTGTGGATGCAGCAGTTTGGGGGCCCTTTCAGTTTGTTGTCAGATGCATGATTTCCATAATGAACAATTTCTAGGATGCTGGATTGTGTTCTATAATGTCTCCATCCCTCTTGAAATGGTCCCTTCAAAGCCCAGACCTTTCAACATCAAGCTACATATTGTAGGGAGTAAGTAAATTATATGTCTCTCACTGTCGCTGCTGGGGAGATGAAGGACTGTGCGAATGTATGGAGGAAGCCTTTTAAATGATAACCTCACAAATAGTGTGTCAAGACGGACATAAAGACGCATCTTGTATATCCTGCATGCTTAATGTCTGTGATGCTTAAACTAGGGTTGGGAAGTCTTACCAGACACTGTGTGAAACAGGTTGAACTTTTGCACATACCCAATATGTAGATATGTTCTTCAATAAGAATTTTACATTGAATTTGTAATATTCATATGCATTATATCTCATTCATTTTTGTGAAAAGCACCCAAACAGAATTAATTCATAAGTAATATTAATGATGCATGTGGTGGAGTTTTGATCTTGTTTATGATTTTTACGTGCCAAATGTTGAATAATTAGGATGTTTATTTCAAATAGTATGTAATTAGATCAAAGGATTTCTAGTTTAATTTCTTATATATAATCCATATACTTGATTATAAGTGCTAGATATCTTTTTTACATCAGCAAATTATTTGCATTTTCTACATATTTAGTAGTGGCAACTCTCCCAAATTAGGTGGGAAATTTCTGATTTTCAACCATGCTTCCACCAACCTGATTTACAGAACATAGCATATGTCTTCTAACTTTCTTTAATTCTTAAAATTTCTGACTGGCTGTTTCATTAATGAGATACTATGGTGCACTGCTGTTATGCATTTCTGAAAATGCCATCTACACTTCTCAGTTGAGCGACAATCGGGTTACATTGGTCAGGTTACCTCTATTGAGCATCAGTCAGGTTATTTTGCCACTTAGCACAAAGTGAATTTGAAGCTATTCTTTGTGGGGTTAAGTTTGCATGCTTTGAGAAATGGAAATTAAGAATTTGTGATCTCTGTAATATAACTGATTATATGTCTGTTAATAAAGTAAAATACTTTAATTACAACAAATACTTACTTTAATTAATTAAAATACTTACTTTAATTCCAACAAAGTCATCTGTATATGGTTTTTTAAAACTATGCACAGATGACTTTGTTGGAATTAATTTGTCAAGGAAGTTTAATATGTTTGTGATTTGTCACTTTTGTCATTACAGTTTGTTGATTTTGCTGTGAAGAAGAGCCAATGCTCATAAATACTATATGTATGCACAAAAATGTTAAACCTTGGATGAGTAAAAACAAGTCCATGGACAAAATTGATGCTTAGTTCTTGAAGAAAGCAATGATATGTTTCTGTTGTTAACCATTGTACAAAAATTGATTTAAAATGCTATTTTTCTTTTAAAATGTTCAAATAATGAAAATGTTTGTTTACACATAATTTTTTGTACTAGTTACGAATTAGTGACTGCATTTCCAGCTATTAATTGAATACTATTTAGAGTTAGTTCATTATTTAAGAAAAATCGCTTCTGTTTATCTTTACTATTTAAAAATTATTTTTGTGAGGGAGTTAATTTTGCTTTCTTAGAAAAATATCTCACTTTTTTATTTTTGTAGGTTGGCACATCTGAATTATCATATTAAAATTTTGGAGATACCAGAGGTATAGAAACATGTATATTAGAATTTGTGCTCAAGGACATGCCATTGAACTTTTCAGTGGCGATATACTGAATGTTTTCAAAAGAATACTCCAACTTTGAAGGACTAAAATTACAAAACTGAAGAAGTTACAACCTTTTTATAAAAGTTAAGTAGAAAATGACATTTTAAAATTTATAAATTTATCACCCATCATCAGAAACATGAACGAGAAACAATCAATATGCGAACTCATCACACATGTTTCTCAGCATGCCCAGTGGTACAGTTTGAGTGGATGCAGTTATTTGCATTTTCAGTTTGTCTATGTTCACCAGCAGTAGTGGAAATAACACTTTACCACATCTTTTTCAGGCTGCTGATTAAAAGTGAGGCTCCACCATTCCACCTGTGTGACTAATCCACCATTGTAGTGATTTTTCATTTAAGTATCCATGAACAGATAAGTGAGTGAGTGAGTGAGAGATTATGGCGCAAAACCAAAGATGATTATAGTGCGCCAAACACGAGATGTGGTGAGTACAATTGATGAAATTAAAATACAATAAATAAAAACAAGTAGACAAATGTATCAAATCCAGAGGATGAAGTCATATAAGAACAAGTTAAAACCACACATTTAAAATTCAAGATACAATCTTTAAAACAAATTACATTAGGTGATAAAAGCCAGTTTCTTTCAAATAATAAAATAAATTACAATTGACCTCTCTTCCGATTAAACGGTCGAGAGGTAAGTCACAGCTATTAAAATATTTCTGGCGAAGACTATTAAAACATGGACACTCAATTAAAATATGACGAACAGATAAACAAACCCATGAACAGATAAGTGGTAATGTGGTGATGCCCCATCCTGCTGGAAAATGAAGTCTCCAGCTTTTTATAATGTGGAAATGTCTTAACTGTAGAAGTGACCAAATCTATAGCTTATTTATTCAAGTAATGGCAGTAACAATGGACTTGTGAAAAAAGAATGGGCCGAGAATTTTGTCTTGGGATAGGGCTCAAAACACAATAACTTTTGGTGAATTGCAATACTTTTCAATGGTAACATGAGGATAAGCTGTACCCCCTGTGTGAGAAGTGCATATGTACCTTATATTACTGTTGGCATTAAATGTGTGAAGTGCATATGTACTTCATATTACCGCTGGCATTAAATGTTGCTTTAATCACTGAATAAATGTGATATGAAGGAATTGTCTTTTTCAAGATCGTTAAAAACAAAGTTGTGAAAATCAATTTTCTGTTCTTAATTTTGGCAAGAGCATGCACCATCTGTAACTTGTGTGGTTTGAAAGTCTGTTGCTTTCTTAACATTTTACTATCATCGTGCTTGGCCTTTGCAGTTCCTAGCTACCTTGCTTATTTTTTGACTGTTAATGGATTTTTTTAAAAATCCATCCCTCATTCTCTTCAGACATAGGCAGTCAACCAGAACTTGAGCCTTTGTAAATGTCCCTCTTAATCAGAAAACTGGCAAAACCAATGTAAGATACTCTATTTATTAGAAGGACATATTTGTGTATTTGTGGCAAAATTTTTGTTGAACAGTTGCAATCGACTCATTTACAACAAATTCAATAGCACAGAGCACTTTTTGTTGTTCAGCTATCATCTTTGCATGAATTTATTGAATCAACTTGCATAGCTAGCATGACAGGCACTTATAAGGCTAATTATACAAGTTATCACCAAATAAAGAACTTATCAACTTTTCATTTGCTACAATTTGTAAAATTTTTAGCTGACTTCTTTGGTTGAAGAGATACAGCCATTTAGAGTTGGAATATTCTTTGATAAACAGCCTGTATATGAAAGTAGGCACAAATGAGAAATTTTTGTGTTAGAGATTGAATAAGGAGGCAGAATTATAGTATTAAAATGTTCTTATTTAAGATTAAGATATATTCTTATTTAAGATATTCTAGTATTAATGCTATAACCTATTGGTATCACTTAGATAATAAAGCATGTCAGTCATACTAAAAAATGAACTTCTGTACAATAACTATCATAAATAAACAAAATGTTATCCAGCAGAACTGTAGTCATGAATGAAATTTTTTATTTGTCATAATTATTATGTTGATCTTGATTTTTTTTACATTTAACCTTCCAAGTGGCCAAAGATAAAACTCCAAACTTAAAAATTTTCAAAAACCACCTGGAGTTAATGGTATTTTCTAGATTGGATTTTTAAAGTGACTTTGTCAGTTTATACCTTGATTCAGTTCTTCTGACATATATATTACTTTCAATTGTTTGAAAACATTTCAAGATGCATATCTGTTCAATTGAAAATATGATTAATACTTTTGAATATATATGTACGATTTTGCCACTTACAGGGTTAAACTGCATATAGCTGTTTAACTGAGACATGTTTATCATGATGCCAATTTCAGTCTTGACTTTATGACCTGTTTACATCATCTATGTCTTTAAACAATTTCCAGATTCTTAATAAGATGCTTTGATAGGAGCTTCCACTCTCCTGATCGTATGCTTTTTCTCATAATACATCAGATGCCTTCGCAACCACATGTACCATCTTCCACACCAGCTAATTGTACAGTCCTTGAAATTAGAATTTGAACACCCCTTTGTGGTCCTTTAGATGCATGCTGAAAGAATAGGGCCAGAAATTTGCATATTTCTGTGTAGTGAAGTTGAACCCTATTGGACTGAGTAATAATGTTGATCTTGAGTTACCAATTGCCTTTCAGACTTAACAGAGGATTAACATAAGCACATTTTTATAGTTATTCCTTTAATGTTCCCTGCCAGTGTGTATACAAATCATGTGTCTTCTATGCTAATTAATTTTAATTCAGGCAGAACAGTTGGATGTATTTAAACTGTAATGTGTGGGCTGTAACTCATAAATCATAATTAATATTTCAATTCTTATTATCTTTAATTGAGCAGCATTCAGTGTACATCGCAAAACATATTTCACATTATTAATCTATATTTATTGTGTCTTCCAAGATCTTTTGGATTTTTTTTTTTCCCTTAGTATTGATTTCAGGAATGAGTGAAGTATTGAAATGTATGGTTAATCAAAAAGTTAAGTTGGATTGCAATTTTTCCTTGATGTGTCATGCAAGTTTATGTTAATACATATTTATATTTCTGATTTGTAGGTCTTCTTGGTGAAATCACTCACTTTCCTGCTCTTTGCAATGGTACTACTTCTAAACATCGGAAAATTCCTCATTTTAATACTGTCCCTCATTTACCAGCAATTTTATCTCCACCTGCTGCTCCTCCACCAAGTATTTCAAGTTCATTGGAACAAGATGGAAATAAGGTATTTTTACAAGCAGTACTAAAATGTTATGATTTTAAAACTATTGTATCATTTAGCATACGTGCATATGAGAAATATGTAAAAACATGGTATTCATATTTTAAATATAAACTTGCAAGATATTTTTAAATGAAAAATTTTAAATTTTTTTTTTTTTTTTTTTTTTTTTTTTTTTTTTTTTTTATGTAGCTGGGCTTAACGTGCCCAGAAAAGTTAAATTTGGCATCTGAAAGCACTTAGTTTTTCTATAGATTACAAATAAAAGAAGACCAAAGTCATTTCATCAGCAAGATATTATGGCATGCTTTTTTCTTTATGTGTCAGAGAGCGCACATGTTACGTTGCATTTCTCCAATGAGAGTGAAGTGCTGCAGCGGGTCATCTGTTTTGTCTGAGCAAATGAGACAAAGCAAGATCAAGGTGTACTTAGCACTGTGAGTTTTGCGTGCTTTCGAGAAATAACTTATTAAGATTTGTCTTATTTATATGTACCAAAAAGATAAAATACTCATTCAAAAATCATGCACAGTATTTTGTCAAGGAAATTAAATAATTTGTTATGTGTATCATTTGTCATTTCGAGTTTGCACAGTGGAAGGCTGATATGTGCATACACAAAAACACAAATTCAATGAGTTGTATTGGTGGGGGGGGGGAAACGGAAAATTAAATTTTTCTGTGGAAACAAAGGACTAAAATGCTATTAGAGATTGCCTGTTCTCTTCCTTTTTACTGGAGCACAACCTCCCACACAATACATCGGATCAGGCTGCCCATGTCTTTATTTAGAAAAAATTTTTCCCGATAACGAAATCGATAAGAAATGCTCAAATGCAAGGACAAAAACAGCATAAATTGTTAAAGAAGTGGACTTTTCATTCAAAATTTTTTTAGGGATAGAAAAATTTCAAATAAAGCTTGGTTCTTTTCTGTCAGATCACTTTGAATAAGAGGATGTGCCTGAAGGCTGCATTTTAAGTGTTACTTTGTTCATTTTTTTAGGGATAGAAAAATTTCAAATAAAGCTTGGTTCTTTTCTGTCAGATCACTTTGAATAAGACAGGGTTGCCACTCAAACAGGAGAATGAAATTCCCCGACTTTTCCAGGTTTTCCAGGTGCGTTTCAAGAAAATTCCAATCTATCCGCGTAATGTACGTTGGCTACGCTAAGAGGTAAATTATGGTATTACTTGTATTGTGTAGCAAATTCACTTAATTATTCAATAAATCCCAGAGGACATTTATTCTTAATTATTCTTGGTATACTTTGTTTGATAATTTTGTTTACTTTTCCACTTAAGAAACTTAATAAAATTTAAGATATATACATTGGATAACAAATGTATGTTTTATTTAATTATTACTCATGATCATCACCAGTTCAACACGAGGCTAATCCGGTCCTTATAAATCACAACGCAATGCTAAATAGTTAGGTTAGATTTTAGGTAAATTTAATTTGTGTGAGGTATGTTCTTAAAAAGCACCTTAACACTTGAAAACACAAATATAATTATAATAGTTGTTGTTTTCTCCATTGAAGATTGAGATTAGAATCTTCCCAATCTGGAATAAAATAAGGCTTTTTTTTGCAGACATTCTGCAGCTAAACGAAAGAAAGAAATCTATTTTAATAAATTGAGGTATTTTATATTTATTTCGCAGCATACATAAGGAAAAAATATGTGCATTAAATTTCGTGATGGTATGTCATCATACTGCTAGAATTAATTTCAGGATTATGCCAGAGAAAATTTCCTGAAATTTGGAAATATTATTTACTAATAATAAATAAATTTAGAGGGAAGAAGCAACATTAAATTATATGAATAACATAAAATAAAGATAATTACTTAAAAATTGAATTAGAATAATCAACGATATTTTAGCGAATATAGTTATATTACATGGTTAGCCTAGATGACTGATTACTATTTTTTTATTTTACTGCAAAATGGCAAAGTATTTATTAAAAAGAAAAAAAAAAAGGTTTAAAAAGATTTTGCGGTAAAATTCTAGTATACGGTAAGGCTTTGGCACGATTTTGAAAATTGTCGCCAAGACCAAAATGACTCGTTTACTGCGCATCATCGTGTCGCCAAATCCATACATGGAGATTATTTTAACCAAAAAACGTCTATGCAAAAAATCTCTAATTCTTTGGTCTATGTAAAGAAGAAAATTTTCCATACAAGTAAAATGCTATTACGCCGCTAGAATGCGGAGGGAAAATTTGCCAAGGGATTTGGCGACGGAACCTGGCGGCCAGAATTTCCCTCTCCGCGGTGTGTACCGGAAATTGAGAAATGTGTTAAGAAGAAACGTTCTTTGACAAAAAGAAAGCTACGAAAATCCGTTTTTAAATTATTGCGAAAAATCCAAGAAGGGACGTTTCTTCTTGGATTTTTCGCAATAATTTTAAAAACGGATTTTCGTAGTTTTCCCCCCCTCTGAAAATAACTAATCCATGAATTAATTTACTTGCACCAAAAAATATTTTCTTTTCCTTTAGAGTTTAACCACTTGCGCTAAGACTAAACTTCACAGTTGCGGTGCCGTGCGCTACAATATAACAAGCGGTAAAGTGTCTCATTTACGCCGCTCCGCATCTGCGAGTGCAATCCAGAGCTGTAACTCGAGAAATAAACAATCTCGTTGTTAGGCGACGTGTGCACCATGTTATTTTCATTTTTGCGATAAATGCTTATCGACATTTTGCGATAAATGCTTATCGATAAATGCTTCGAACTTTGACACCGGTTTCCAGCTTTGGCGGCAGATATATCACGCATGCACAGCTGTTTCCCTCTATGATGGAACGGAGCAACGTCTGTTGCAGAGAGGTTTTCCTTCTTTACAATACATATTCTTTGATTCTAACCTCCATGGTACCGTATACTAAGATTAAACCCATTTTGTTTTATACGAGAACAGGTACTTTCTTTAGTTCATGCACTGCACATGCGATTCTCGAGAATACTGGAAACCAAAAGTTGCGGGAAACTTGCTTTGCCTTTCTAAAAGACAATCAAATTGGAGCTGCGAAAATTGGCTCTATGCCAGCACCCGAATGACACTCACGTGATACATAATTCGCCAAAAAAGTTATCTCTTCCGACGTCGGCGCAAAAATCGCTTTTTTTGGCGGGATCATTGTATGAACTTCCCTGACTTTTCCAGATTTTGACAAAAATACTTAAATTCCCTGACTTTTCCCTGAATTTTTTGGTCAATTTTCGAATTCCCTGACTTTTCCCGGGTCTCCCGGTTTTCCAGGTAGCGTGGCAACCCTGATAAGAGGATGTGCCTGAAGGCTGCATTTTAAGTGTTACTTTGTTCATTTTAAAAATAACTTCTGTTTTAAAGGAACTACCTCCTACTCTTTCAGGACTCTCTTTACTCTCTACTCATTGTACACTGATGACCTCCACATTAATTAAATGTAGTAATTCTGGTCTTGGAGTTTTTTCTAACCGTGGATTCCTTGACAGGAAATCGGTCAGCAAAAAAATAGGCTTAAGCAGGAGTTAAGAGGTAAAGAATGGGACCTTTTTGCTCTCCATGGGGGTAAATAGTATATGTATGTGTTTAGGAATATGTTTTTTTTTTCTACAACAAATCCAGTTAATGAATTGTAAATAGAAATATTGATCGAACCTGGGTTTATTTCTTATTGATGTCATATTTGTACAAAAAAGACAAAATGTACTTTAGGTAGAAAGTTTAGTTTAAAAAAAATTTTCCTTTGATTATTTTGCATATATTTCACACTAAAACTTTCCATACAAACTGGGGCTGACACCAGTGGCAATTTGAATTTTTAGTAGTAATTAACTGTGCCTAGGAGTGGACAACTATAATGAATTTCTTGTTATTTAGTTCCATTTGTTTTTCTAAGGAGTATTTTTTTAGTGACTGGAAGTTAGGATTTATAATCTAAGTATGTTTTTGGTACGACTGATTGTTACTGCTTGGTTATGATTGATTTTATTGATGCATATTTGATTGAAAGTTAGGACTTAATCTAAGTATGCTACTGATAGCTGGAAATTATTCAACCCGTTGCATTAATATTTAATAACTTTTACATATTTTTGTTTAAGCTCTTATTGAGAAATGTGTGATTTTTTTGGTTAAACAAAAGGCTAATTAGCTTTATTTGTTTAGTACTTTATTGTTTTCATTCATATTGATATTTATTTTTGATATATTGTGAAAAGGCATATTTAATTTAAAATGTAAAAATTGATTAACTTGGGGCAAAAACTGTCATGGATGTGAATATGTTACTGAGCTGTGTGTGAGGAAGGTAATAGGGTTCTTAAGTAATTGTGAAATTGAATTTCAGCATGCTAGGTTACTGTTAGTTTAGGAAAAAATTTGTATCTTCTGTTAGTGAAATCTTGTTATGTGGCAGGCAGATGAAATGATTACTTTGTATTTTATACGTAAATAACGTAAGATAATTGTTTTCTGTGCATTGCTTTTAGATAATTGTTTTATGTGTATATATTCATAGCTATTGTTTTGTGTAATTAAGTGAGCCTGTGGTCTGCATTCTTTGAACTTAGTGTCTATCAAAGAAAGGTGGGCCTAATTTTTTCTTTAAAATAAATAATTTGCCTTTTTATAATGAGTTGTGATTAAAGTGAAGAATAATTTGTAGCATTATTTCTACTGCTGAGAGTTAAACAATTGGTTTGTGATGGTTACCTTAGTTTTGTGAGTTTGAATTTCATACTTGCCAACCTACGACAATAAAAAATCAGGAGATTTTTTTTAAGAAATCGGGAGATTTTTCACAATGTTAAAAAGACTTTTTAAATGATGAAAATATAGTTTTTAATAATGAATTAACTTTAAATAGTAGCTACTTATTAAATACAAGCAACACAAAAATACCTTACACATAAAAAAAACATTTTTATTACTTGCATCGTTTAAGAAAACGGGGGGGGGGGAAAAACTTTAATCAGTTTTCGTACAAATGTTATAAACAGTGGCAGATTTTGCTTTCTTTAAGAAAGAAACTTCATGAGTTTGTTCATAGCAATTGCCACGTAGGCCTGCTTTCGCTAATAAAAGTTTTTCTAATGTGTCATCACTAATTTTAGATCTAAATTTAGTCCTCGTTTTCGCAACAACACTAAAAATCCTCTCACACTCTGCATTAATATGGGGAACTGTCAAGATGGCCAACATAATTCTAGACAGTTCACTATATTTTAAAATTCCATCAGCATCTTTCAGTTTTCCAATTAAACTCCACTGGGTGTCAATCCTAGCTGATTTTATAACTTCATCCAAGTTTTCTAATTGTAACCTGCTGTTATGCAGCTGTTGAAAATGTTTCAATTTTCCCTTCCTTTTAGAACTCCTTTCAAGATAATAGTAAATATCAACAATGCGTTCATCCACATTTATTGGTAAAGAAGCTGCCCCTTTTTCAGCTGCTAAATTTAAGAGGTGACAGGTGCACCTCATAATCTGAAAATCTGAATTTTCCTTTCTTAAGATGCCTGCAACACCAGTCTTCAAGCCTACCAATACTGGTGCATTATCAGCACCAAGTGCTAAGCAATTATCCAGAGGGACTACATTTTCTGTTAAAGTTTTAATAATTAGCTGTGCTATAGTAAAGCCTGTCAAATGTCCTTCTAAAGTGGCGACAGAAAGTAAACTGCACTCATTTTCTGAAGACTCTGAATTAAAAAAAGAAACACTAATTGGATACAGTTTTGAATCGGTATTATTGCTTCCATCCGTAGAGAGGCAGAACGGAGCTGTTTTAATGCAATCAATAACTGAAGATTTATTTTCCAAATCCATTTCTTTAACAATTGCACCTGTTTCGGTTCTTGCACTTGAGTATTTCTTAGCGATTTCACTATCGGGAAACATTTTTCTAAATAAAGCTGCAGCGTGATCCGATGCATTCAGTGGCAGATTGTGCTCCAGTAAAAAAGGCAGAGAACAGATATTCTGCATCAATAACTTTTTGGTCCTTCGCTTTCCAATAAAAATTAAATTTTTCGTTTTTTTTCAAAACAACTAATTTTGTCCTTGTGTTTTTGTGTACGCACATGTTTGAGAACATCCACCCTTCCACCATGCGAAATCGAAAAATCGCAATGAC